CGGTTCGATGACGGTCAGCAAGTGGTTGTCTTTTGGTCATGTGCTCTTCAGCCCAGCCCGGGACCAGCTTCTGGACGTTGTCGGCTCGCTGAAGCGTCACTCCATTCTCGTTGTCGATGGCCTTGGTAACGATGACTGGTCGTTCTACGCGGCAGAGACATACCCTGCTGCTACCTTCTTCAACCTGTCACCCCGCGCGCCGTTGCCAGAGGAGCATAAGAACTCGTCAAGCTTCCCATTGAGCCCGCCAAACCACCATCAGGTTCAGTACCTCTCTCAGATGGACAAGTTCCCCTTTGGTGCAGAGAGCTTCACCTCGGTGGTCTTCCGCTTCCCTGCGGCCGCGCCTGAGTCTCACTATCGGAACATTGTTTCGGAAGCACGTCGAGTTCTCAAGCCGGGTGGCTACCTGGAGCTCTCGATCCTTGACGTTGATCTTAACAACATGGGCAATCGAGGTAGGCGTACTGTCCGCCGACTGAAAGAACGCATCCATGTGAACAACTCGGAAGTCAGCATTGGCTCGTCCTCCGACCTCATTCTGCGCCTCCTCGGGCGCAAGGGCTTTTCCGATGTCAAGAACTGTCGCGTCGGCGTGCCAGTGGCGAGCGTGGTGACTCGGTCGGAGAGCGGCAGCAAGAAGCCACCCGTCGCTGGCGCCCGGAAGGCTAAGGAAGTTCGCAGCCTTGCCGAGATGATGAACGAGGACGGCGATTCCGCCGATGAGAATATCACCAAGATGGTGGCCAAGGTGGGCCGATGGTGGTACAGCCGCTGCTACGAGAGCGCAGCTGGGACCATCAGCAAGAGCATCTGGTCTGATCGTGCTTTGCTTTCCGAGTGCGAGGAGCTGCGGACAAGCTTCAAGCTCATGGTTTGCTACGCACGTGTACCGGATAGGGCGCGAACCGCAAGTATCTGAGTCTTTCAAGTCTCTTCATTCCTTGTTTGCTTCAGCCTGGTTTCCTTACTATCCTCATTTCCTACCACAACGCACATGACCCACTCCAACGTATCTTTATTACAAGGGCATCATTATGGAAGATTCGGAACGGAAGAGGAAGCATCACAAGATCCAAGAGGGCGCGAGCCCATGATTGACTCTACCCCACAGTGGCTGAGTCTCTCCCCCTTTTATACAACGAAGCAGAGCAGCCGGTGAACACAGCACGGCGTTTGCGAGAGGGCTCATCTAACCCATTCATCCTTGGCTGAGTGGGCATGGATAGTCCTTTCATCATCCCTTACTATCATATTTCTTTACCATCTATACGCAAGCCATCACTGGCGAAGTATGTAACACATAGTATTGGGTCTTGAAATCCGTGGTCCTGTATTTGTCGACTGGCTGTGCCATGGCGGAAACGCCTCTTTCTCTTCTCTCATCCATCACTTTCACCACAAAAGCAAATGGCGCGATATTAATATTCTCTTTCTACAACCTCATCAGCGATAGGACACTCTTTGGGAGCGGATTAGCAAGGAAAGCTGGACTGGACTAAACTTGGAACACAGTATGGGTATGAATAATGTGATGGCTGGGCCGTTGCGCTTCTCTTTTGGGTTGTCTCTCTTTCTTTCTCGCTCAATCGGAGCGTTGGGTTTTGGGACGTGGTATCATGGCAAGGAACGAAATGAGAGAGACAGAGGATGGGAAGCGTGGTGGCTCGAGGCCCAACAGGAGAGGAGGAAATTGGTAACGAGAGTACGGCATGATGAATCATGTTGGATGTCTGGACTGTCCTTGAAGCGTTTTGCATGGCACGAGATACCCCAATCTTTTAGTAGCGGAAATGAAATGATCTGATTCAAACGTTGTGTCTCTTTCTTGTGATCTTTACCGTGTATCATCTCAACAGTTCCAGTGTTGTTCAGATGAAGAGTATCACCTGCCCAGCGCATTTGAGACCACCGGTTCTTGCAGGCCGTGTCCCATGGTTTCCTTCTCACCACGGGGTCATAAGGTCGTGGTTCCCGTTCCTGAATAATATGACGCAGCTAGCCCACCTGGACTACTGACCTCCTTCCCATACCCAGAGTTCAATCTTCAGAGAATGCAGATTCCGCCTCGGAGAACGTTTGGCAATAGGTGTTGTGGTGCCTTCCCTCCGTACCTGTTTGCCTCTCCAATCAGTAGGTACGTCTCTTTTGTCCAATCCCCAAGCGGGATGGCGATGGGAGTGCTTGCCTTTGGTGATTCAGCTTACAGGAGAAGCTGCTGCTTCAACGTTGTCTTAGAGAACAAGATGCAAGAATAAGGTGCTTGGTCTTCTCCCTTAGGAGAGATAAAAGTACTCTACCTGCCCCCAAGCTGACGTCCGTTTCCTCCCCTCTTCAACTTCACAGACAACATGCCGTCCTGCACCATTTTCCTGGCTTCAGGTTTGGCTGATGTTCCTGGAAGCAGACCAGCATCGAGACACGGTCCTCTACGAGTAAAAACTTCGTTCTTCTCTGGAATCAAATTTCCTCATATCCGAACTTCGACATAAACTTCGACATGTAAACACAGCCATTGGACTTCGGAGTTTTAGGATGGTTCTTAGGAGTGTAGCTCTGTTGTTCAATATTAGGCTATCACGCGAAGTCGGTCGAGAGGAGAGATCCCTCCGAGTGGCAGAATATGACAGGCGTCCCAGGTCAGAACAACGGGCTCAAATCATCTGTATTCAGCTCACGTGAGTTTATTCAGTAGGTAGTTCACATACACACTCATCCACAGCATCGTCTCCACATTCATAGGAACTCGAAGGTGAAGGAAGCCCTCTAGCCCACGAGACTTGTTTGGTCGACACTGTGAATCAGACGCGTCTGTTGTTTTTCCTCGCCCCAGGCGTTGCAAAGGTCTTCTCAATACTTCACCTCTTCACGCTGCACCGCGCCCACACTTGCCTTCTTCCATTCACAGGCTTTCTACCTCCCTGATTCACCCGCCTTAATCAAGACTCCCAAACAACCACCGCGTTTCTTCCCCTCTTCGTCTCGGGCCCATGAAGGCTTCTTTCCTCCTTTCCAAATTCCATTCTCCTATTCATTGTGTCCCTTGCGATTCATCACTCGACAGCTTCTTCCTTCTCGACCGAGTGCCACCGGACCATACATCATCGCGACCCGATCGCCTCTTCAGCCATCCTTACCTGCTCATCTTTCATCTTCCGTCATCTCACTGCGAAGATGAGCTCCCACAGTATCCCCAAGCGCAATGCCACCGGGGCATTTGCGACCCCAATCGATCCGCCTCAGCTTCGCGCTCACCCTCGCGCCCATCAACAGCAGGACGGCAACGAGAATCTCATTGATGAGACTGCCAAGATGGCAAAGAGGCTCAACGAGAGCCCCTCCCAGACCCAATGCGTCTTTGGCAATGAAGACATTGCCCCCGGCACCAGCATTGCTGGCGTCTCCGGTCGCCTTGGCGATCCCAAGCTTGCTTCGATGCAAAAGATGGTTCTCGACTCGGTTCCTAAGGGAAGTCAGGTCAAAATCATCTATCTCATCACCAAGGTAAGCCATCTCATCTCATACCATCTCACCAAGCCTCACCACCTTCCATTACTACCATATTCACGCGTGATGCCGCTGCTAATGATACATAAAGGAGAATGAGAACAACGATCTCCGAGCTGGAACTGCCAACAATGCCGCTGCTGCACAAGCTGGACCTTCTGAGGTGGGCCGCTTTGTTCAACAGAACAATGCGGTTCAGGACCGCACTCGCGCCCAGGTCCACCAGCACAGACAGGGTGAGGACCATGATGAAGAGGATGAAGATGTCTCCCTGCGGCCTAGAAAGCGTCGCCGAGCTTCCTGCCGAGTCTCTCCTCTTCATATATCGCCTAGAGGCCTCAAGACCGAGCAAGAGGACGAGGAGGAAAGTGAGAAGCAGATCAAGGAAGAGGTCGATGATGAGGTCGATGATGAGGTCGACGATGAGTTCAAGGAAGAGGTCGACGATGAGTTCAAGGAAGAGGTCGATGATGAGGTCAAGGAAGAGGTCGACGATGAGTTCAAGGAAGAGGTTGACGATGAGGCTCTCTTCTTTGCAGAACCCAACGAAGTCATCAATCGCAGCTTCTCTATCACACGGGCCATGCACAGAACGACTCCCTCCCTATATGGTCTTCCTTCTGGAAATAGCTTTCCGTCATCGACTCGAACCGCTCAGCAGATCAACACCTCTGATGATAACGATGATGGTGACGAGGACGACAGCGAGGAACCAGTGCAAGTCAGATACACTGGAAGTTACTTTGATAACTTTTTCGCCGCATATGATGCCGCCTTCTCCGCTGAGGATCCTTATCCCTATCTTCGGAGCTTGGATGATCTCGACTTCCCTGGACTGCGTTGATCAGAGCGATTGAGTACAATGGAGAGAGTATCATCAGCACTCACTAGCCTAGAGATACGCAAGAAGGTCTCGAGAGAAGCACTTGTGGAACAGGACTTCTTTGGTCTGCGGGTATTGATTTGCATTTGGACGGGCAGACGAGTGCTCTGGGCTTTCTGAAGGTTGTTTAACAAGGAAGACATGGAGTCAATGGGACAGAGAGTTTGTTGGTCACTAAGTGTAGTATTAGAACAAGAGGATGGTGAGAAGGGCTTGTACATGTACTTAAAGAAGAACTACAAGCTACCTTAGTTCACCCAGAGCTACCAATACACCCTGAGCCTGTAATCCTTTCATGGACAGTGCTTTGAGTGAACCTCTTCCGATCTGGACTATAAAGAGAGAGTCCTGTTTGTAGGTCGTCAATTCAATCACCTGACGTTGCCAAGTGTGGTGCCCGTTGCGTACAGCATCCGAATGCTGCCAGAGTCACGATACACCTTAGGACCTGGCGAATACGTGTTGCTGGTACCATAAACGGGTGCAGTCCAAGACTTGTCATTGGGGGACTTATAGGAACCGTAGTCATACCAAGCACGGATGGTAAGTCTGTCGGGCCCGGGACCAAGTATGATTGAATAGTCTATTAGACAGCGTGAACAATGGCCATTCACTTCGATTCCTGGCTGATTGACTGCCAGTCTGACGGCGTTGCCAAGTTCCTTTGGGGGACCACCCCAAGATTCAGATCCACCGATGTGCCGACAGATTCTCTCTGAAACTTGCCAAACTCCAAGGCCCTGCTGATAACTCAGTGCCCGCTGAGTATATAGTATGAACCTATCGGCTATAACTTTTGGCGCGGCGTGAAAAGAAGTCTTGGTCTTTTGACCTGGAGAAGGGGCATACTCGAAGGTAAACGGTGACATGATCTTCTTCAAATACTCCTGGTTGGCGGCTGTTTCGGGTCGCATGAGCTTGAGTGCGAGTTGAACATGGCTCTCTCGAATGTCGAAACGGGATAAGAAACATGCTCTGTTTGTGTCATATGGGCAAGTACGCAGCAGATGCCAAGGTACGTCGTTCGTATCAATGCGATGGAGCAGGTGGCAGCCTCCGCAGACCCAGTGGTTGGGTGAGGTGAATGCCAGACCAGCCAAAAAGTCTAGTTTTTGACTGACGGCAAGGCGAGCGAACAGCAGCCTCCAGTCTTTCTGGAGGAGAATTTGCATGTCTTTGCAGGTTTGACGCAAAATGAACTGGTCGTGCAGTTCAAGAAAGCTGATGATGTGATACAGCATCTCATTCGGAAGCTTCAAGAAACTCGGTACCGTGTATGTCTGCGGTTGAACCCGGCGAGCTGGATCCTTCGCAAGCGCCTTCACCCTCTTGAGAGTCCTCCGTACCAAAAGGCGACCCAGGAATAATCGCCATACAAAGCTTCCTTCCCTATCTCTCGCGGGACCAAATCGGCCTTGCAGGGCCCGCACAACACCTCGCAAGCTACAGTCATCCTCCGCAGCAGCAGTCGCCCGCGCGGCGGACAGCACGCTCGCGTCAACTGTTGCATGGACCCAGTTCCACACGGTTCGGTACTCCTTTCTGATATCGTCGCGCTCGACGACAGCTTCATAGTACTCTGCAAGACGTGTTTTAAACTCCTCACGAATGTCGTCGAGGGTGACTACCGCTGGCGCAGGCGGCAGGGGCTGCTGAGGAGACCCGCCCGCCCTTGCCGAATAGGCCGCTCGTAACTCTCGGGAATACTGCTCTTTGAGTTGAACCTGTCGCCACGAAATCAGCTCATCAATCTTTGGGATGTGGAAGATCCGCTGTGCGGGATCCGAGGCGTTGGGTGGTGCCGAGGGGTCGATGTATTCCCAGATGTCATGTTGATGGGCCTGGAATTTTAGCTGTATCAGCCATGAAGGCCAATCCTTGCGATGTCTTAAGCGTGCCGTAGTCGGACTTTCAATCTTCATGGTGAAGGTTTGCGCAGTGGTACTAGACTGTGTGTTGTTCAAGAGAAGAGTTCAAGTAAGTGATGCTTTGGAAAGAGCTGGTCACGATTCGCTTCGTTTTGGCGAGGAACGCAGGCCTTTATAGATTTGGCGATCATTCTTACGAGGTTCTTGAGAACCTTGACGGAAAGGTTCGGTGCGGTATTGGGACGACTAGACTTTGCCCAAGGCGACGTCAAGGTTGGAAAGTCAAAAAGAGAAGGGATAAGGGATGTTGTCATCTGAAGATGTGAGATGTGCTATCCCAAATAACACAATCATCCCATCTATACCGTGATTAATCTCATACTTTGCGTCTTGTCTAAGCTTTGGCTTCTGTTCAAGTCAAGGTAGAAACACAGAGAGCAGGCAATGCAACTGCTTAACCTCCTTCCTCATAAAGACGTCGCTGCGTCCAGCGCTAAACTCCTCGCGATTTTGCCTTCAATGCGAATCACAGGTCGGCGTCTTTCCCACTGCAAACTCAAGTCGATGTGGGAAGCAACGTTGCCTGGCTCTGATTTCTTTCGTTGACTGGACACCCTCTGGCTGGCTGGCCATCAAGTGTCCCCGCCGGAGCTGGCTCCGGTGAGCAGGCAAGTACTCTGGTCCGTGCACTGCACCTGGATGACTGTGAAGAACATTCCTCAAGACGTCAAGGCGTCTAAACTGGGAGTGCAGACTGTAGAAGAGGTTGCCCTTGCGCTCAACAACCAGATCTTCTCAAGCACATTGAATCCTATTCAAGTGCAATTTGCACAGGTGCAGCGAGTCTGCTTGTGTACGACCAAAGCTGCCTATGTACAATGAATCCTGCTCATGTGCAACCTATGAGGTAGGCCTACCTACCAGGCTCCCCCGGAGGACGGGAAACATCAGGATGCGCCCGTTGTGACAGAGACAGCTATCCTTCGTGGGGCAGTGGCATTCTTTTTCGCTATCTCCACCCGTAGTCCATGATTCATACCGGAAAGCCATACGCTTATTAGAGGGGTTCTATGCAAAGGTTGACTTCTATCGCGTAGACGCCGATGATCAGCCCATGGTTGAACAACTAAACAAGCTATGTTATACATTCATATTACTACCCCTGTTTAGCTCAGGGGGGACATTACTTGAGACCGAGAAAGACCCTGTCTGCCCTGCTTTGGTGTGCTGCCAGATATTGGGCATGATAGACGAGCGTGATTAGACAATAAGAGAAGGAATCGATTGGTGAAATTAAGAACTGGATGTATAAACGTTCAAAAGGCTTGCTCGGTCTCTTGTTTTATCCGCGAGTAATGTGTTACTGCGATCATGGCGTCTTTAGATAGATTCATTGAATTGAATCGACACAAGCTGATCAGCTTTCTGCGTCTGCATGGTTGCAAGTGTTAATAGGTGTACGACACAGGGAAGAAGCTCTCAGAAGCCAACTGCTGTTAGGGTTTAGAAGATAAATTACTGAAATCTGCCCTTCCCTCGAAGTGTACTCTCAGCGCTCTATAAGAAGATGAATTACTGAAATCTGCCCTTCCCTCGGAGTGTACCCTCAGCGCTCTATATATACCTGAGCTGCTCCTTTGTTGCTTGGTCCTCCTCTAAGTGCCCTCATGCTACCCTATCCGGCGAGGCCTGACAGCAAGGTTCGGGATGACGAAGTCTACTATCAGATCCAGCCACAACCAAACCTAGTCCGCTACCTAGAATGCAATAGGGCAACTTTCACTTAGGAGTTTTTACCGGCGTTGATTAATACGTCGAGTGGTGAATCCGATCCCACAGTTGTTGTTGGCCGTGCTGTTCTCCGCAAGGTAGTTTGGCCCTCTTGGCTGTCAAGGCGTTTTCCCTCCTGTCCAGCTTCCGGTCTTTCCGGTCTTTCCGGCGTCTTAGGCTTCTTTGGTCCAACTGAACCACCAGTCCTATGTTCATGTACAAGAATGTTTGGACGGTCTTGTGGGCTACTACCATCACTCGAGCCTGGCTTTGGAAATGCTCCCAAGGCTTTTTTTTTTCCATCAGAACCTGTCAGTTTATCCACATAAGATTTTAGGTAAAGAGGTACAGACGCACCGCTTGCTGCTACGAATGCAGTTAAGAGCAAGTTGCAAATCTTCATTGTGTTGAATGCTCCTGGTCAAAGAGCGGAGTGTTGGATTGTGATGTTGGAAGAGCTTTCACATTTTCAATATGGCGGGAGGACCGTGTTTATATAAGAATTCGGCGTCTGGTAAATCTTTATTACGGCGGCTGCGGTGTTGTATCACTTCAAATGGGACACTATGTCGGAGAGCCTTGCGCAAAAGAAGATCCAATCTGAGCCCGGTTCCAGAGACAGTGCCTTTCTTTGCTGATGTAGACTAACAGCCGAGCGGCTCTGTATGTGTGTTGATTCGCTCTCCGCGGCAAGGCAGAGTCTCTGGTGTCGAGAGGCATTTAATAGGCTAGAGATGAATTGTTGCGAAACTCTAGATTTGGCTGCGTTGTGCCCGATATTCAATCTCTTGCAGTTTGTGGCCCACACGTAGAATTCTGGGACCCCTCTAAACCTAGCCACTGGTTGAAACTAGCTGGACATCTTTCAGGGTCGGCGGCTCCTGAGGGCTGTTACTGGCTTGTCTGCTGGGCTGAAGCATGACTGAATCCGGGGCTTAGAGGATTCGTCACCAAGCTCTCGAAAGCCCAAAACCAACGAAAGGATTTTCCAAGATTCGGCAAGTACAGTTATCCGGTACCCCAGAAATTCTCTGGCTTTATTGGTGATAACATGAAGTAGCTTAAGCATCAGGCAGATCTTCACTAGAGCGTGCTTGGCTTCGACGCCTGGGTCCCACATCAGACAGGGCGCATTTTCGTTCAAAGTGGCAAGGACGTGTCACTGTAAAAGTGTAACACACGAAATCGCATCAGCCTCCGACTAGGTGAAGGAGTGCTATCACTGACTGGCTGGTCTGCGATGATCGTCCGAGACTTGCAGGTGGGCAGGCCAACCACAGGCCACGACCTTACGACATCTGCTTGGTTTGCCTGACACCACCACCGCATGAGATGGGATTGGGGCCTAATCCTCACTGTTCCATCCGTTATTGTACGCGCGCTAATGCACATGTCGGCGTTGCCGTCGTGGTGGCGGAGGTGGCTTCGCCATCTGCTCTGCCGCCGCCAACTCGCCTCCTGCATAGAGCTGCCAGCAATGATATCAAAACGATCGGGAGTTCCAATAGCGACGGTCGCATCTAGTGTAAATAGCAGGAGAATGAGCATTTTTATTAAATGAGCAAGATAAAGTCGGCGGCTCGTAGTTAAGATCAAGATTTGAAAAGAGGAGTAAAAATTCCGTATTATAAAGTAATTAATTTCAACTATGAGTTAATAAAGAGGTTAAGTAAACTATATAATCTTCTATATCCTTTTAGGGTCTAGCCTACCTTATGAAGGGCTATTTTTATTTCTATAAATAAACTAATTTATTAAAATTAATATCGAGTCTTTATTATATAATAAACTTTATTTAGTTGCACTTTTATAACAGAGACTTGCGGTCATGGTATCCACCCCGCAACACTATTCAGATCGATTTATATACGTGGAGGTATGAAGTGAGAACCCTGGCGTACATGAATGACGGGCTCTTGAAACCCGAGTGGTACGATCGAATGGTTTCGGCATGCTGTTGAGCTAAACTTAAGCTGGCTGTAGATTGCATTGCTGCAGATATGTACCAGCACCCAGCTAGAACTGGGTGATACGCATCATCTTGATCGACAGCGAACAACTCGCCATGTTGAGATCACTAGGCGTTCTGTCGTATGGTCACCATAGGGGCATCGACGTAGGTAAAAGAGAACGGTTGTCTATTGGAAATAGGAAATAGGTACGAAGCTCGCTCTGATATAGAGGGTGCAAGTGAAGTGGGCCTCGGTGATTATGTAACCGAGGTCACGTGACGTGCGGTGAGGCCATGGATGGTTGAAGCCATCACAACACGTTCAAAATGGTTGACCTTCGTACTAATGGTACTGGATCAATGGGGAAGCCAAAGTCTCCCACTGCTTCAAAGTTGATGGTGTCATGATTCGATCTCTTAATGACAGTACTCTCCGCTCTCCGAATCACAATCTTCAATGCTTGACTCAAAAAGCTTAGAGTGGTCCGGCTCGCGCTCGTGACTGAGGTCCCAGGCCGCCTTCTCGTTCGCCAGCCGCATGAGCGCGTTGTAGTCTCTACATACGTGGTTCTGGCCCCAGCCGATGCTCTCCGACCACGATCCCGACTCGCCTTCGAGACTAGTATCGCCCGAGCACAGTATGCTCTGTCGTAGGTACTCGATGCAATGCGCTGTGTGGCCTAACTTGAATGGGTCCCAGTCTGCAAACTCTTTTCGAGAGATACCGAGCCTTGTGGTTATGATTGACTAAGGGTTGGTGTCAGCTCTTTTGTGTCTCAGGTAGCAGGGCATCAGGCATTGGGTTATGGCTGTCAGATGCTTACCAAGCAGTGAATTTGATGAAATACGGAGAGAACCCAGCCACTGCGTTTGTCATCTGGGGACAGCACGCCGCTGATGTCTGCTGGTGGAAACTGCACTTTGTAATCTGCACTGCTTTCGTCTGCCACAAAATAGCCTCGACTGACTGTGATGAGAGGTCAGCGATATTATCCCATGGGTAAACTGCCACAAAAAGCGGGCCCACTCAATGTGGGCAGCATTAACCACATCCATATCTCGTGACATAAACTGAAGCCTTACTTGGATATAGTTGCTGCCAATTCTCGTGTACTTCTTGCATCCTTGTAGCGTTCAGAAGCATCTGTCGGTCCGCATACACGAGATCTGGCCCAAAGCTAGCCGTGTTGCCGAAAGTGACAACTTTCTGGGGAACTAATGGTAATGGCAGTGATTTTTAGCGATGTTCAAGAAAAGACGGCAAGTCGGGGGGTTCATACTCACTGGCCCGTAGGGCAATAATCCAGTCCTTGGAAGAACTCTATCATGAATAACGATTCCACCTAGTATGATGATTCCAACTACGAGAGCGGCTTCTCCCAATAACCTCCAGACTTGGCGTCTAGGTCCAGCCCGTCGTACTCTGAGAGTCTCATCGGTTAGACTGAGATCCTCAGACGACAAGTCTGATTCATCGCGAAAAGGCTTCTCCCACTTTCCAGGCATAGCTGCGTAATTGGAATGAGGCGAGGAAATTGGGTCAAGGGATGAACGGAGAACAGCAGCTTGCGTTGTGCAAGATAGTTATGGTGAGAGTTGCGAAGTAGTCCCTGTAAGACTGTCACCCATTGTCCTCGATACAGAGATGGCATCTAGAGATAGTGATATTCATCTAAACGTTCACCCCCCTCCGGACCCATGTCGCTTTTGATCCCCGCATCTTGAGGATAGACGTGTGCCGAATCCCGATCGATAGGCAACAGGATCCGGTAAGCTAGCGCATGTAAGAGGATCGAACGCCCGTCTTGGCCAACCAACATGCAGCCGTTCCAAGTCGCCAACAACACACAACTAAGCAACATGCAATTTCAAGCATAAATTTGACGGGCTTACTTTTGCCTGAACTGTTGCCATCTTATCAGTATCACAGCTGAAGTTCCGTTTCCTACGAGCTCACGAAGCTGGATGGGCCCCTCCTGATCCTCTCGATCCCACGAATACCACCTGCCCTCCCAAGCCTTGGCTCGCCTTACTCAGAGCCCAACAGTCATGCACAAATCCCTGCCGCCTCTAGACGCGGCGTGGGACCCGACTCTGCAGACTGACGATGGAGAGGAGTACTGCTGGACGCCGCTACAGCTCGCCGCCAGAAGCGGAGACCTGGACCAAATCCGCGCCATCCTTGCCGCCGACCCGGCGGCCGTCAACGAGCCCCCGCACGGGTACTACGGACAGACGGCCGTCCAGGCTGCATGCATGCACGGCCACGAACAGGCCGTGCAGATGCTTGTCGACGCCGGCGCCGATATCCACTTTTGCGGGGGCAACAACTTCCAAAGGAATGCCTTGCAGATAGCCTGCGGGCACGGCAACGAAAAGGTCGTCGATATCCTGCTCAGCGCGGGGGCCAGAGTCGACGAGGTGTCATTGAAGCCTGTGCCGCATCCTTCGGGGTACAGGTCACCAACAACACCATCGTCGTCGCCGGTTGTTGTGACGCGGTATAACGGAAGAACGGCACTCCAGGCAGCAGCAGAACGAGGACACGAGCATCTCGTCAGTCGACTGCTGCGAATGGGTGCCAACGTGAACGCCCCGCCTTCACCAACGGCGGGGTATACGGCACTGCAAGCCGCAGCGGGCGGCGGCTACTTGGCGATAGTGAAGCTTCTTCTCCAACACGGGGCTGATATCAACGCGGCCTCGGCAAAGTACAAGGGCTACACGGCTCTTCAGGGCGCATGTCTGCGAGGTCATCTCGAGGTCGCCGACCTTCTTCTTCGGGAAGGCGCTGATGTCCACGCCGTGGGAGGAATCTACGGGGATGCAATGGCGTTGCATGCGGCAGCTGAGACAGGTCGAGTGGATGTGATAGAGCGCTTGTTGGCGGCCGGTGCTGATGTGAATGCCTGTAGCTTCAAGGGACGAAGAGGGCAGACTCCGCTGCAGAGCGCTGCGGTTGGAGGTCACGAGGAGGCGATGAGGGTCCTGAGAGATCACGGTGCTGTAGGAAAGACTGGAGGCGGAAGGTTCTTGTTTCCTTGAACTGTCATGTATTGAGCAGAAGCCATGTCATTGTAATGCATGCTACTTGATTGAAGATCGATAGAACATCAACAGATCTCCATTGCCCTCCATAATCTCGAGTAGTCTCTGTCATTGACTAAGACTGCCTAATCTCCGAGTGAGATGATGTCCTCCTCCTTTACCGGAACAATGCCAGCCTTGACAGCGCGGTCTCCCAGAGAAATGATGTCCTCTTCCTTGACTGGCACGATGCCCGCCTTGACTGACCGGTCTCCCAGAGAAATGATGTCTTCTTCCTTCACTGGCACGATACCAGCCTTCACTGCTCTATCGCCGAGGGAAATGATGTCTTCTTCCTTGACAGGAACAATTCCAGCCTTGACTGCCCTGTCGCCAAGAGAGATGATGTCCTCTTCTTTGACAGGGACGATTCCAGCTTTGACGGAGCGACGTTTGTAGCTGTCTTCAAGAGTCTCGTCCTCGTGGCGTATCTTTGCCACTCCGGCCATGGCGGTTGTGGCAAGGAGGGCGGTGAGGGCGAACGTTAGCTTCATGGTGTAGGAATTGTCTGGCGGTAAAGTATGTGAAGTAGTTGTTGTAGTAGTAGTGATGATCTTTTGATTTGGTAGATTAAAGATTGTGGCTGAGAAAGATGTCTTGACAGTATCGTATGATCTATTAGACTGAAGAACTGGGACATGCGTATATAATACCATGAGAAGTGTTCGGACGGCCGGGCCAAATATTGTCCATATGGACCTTGTTTTGGGACTGCGAGTGAATGCTGCCCTGTACTCATCCGAGAATAGCTTGACAATTAGACATATAGCGGAGTATGAGGCGACCCCGAACTGACAAATTGTCGCTCGTATAGCAATCACCAGTCAGGGTTAGCTACTTCCTGGAATATGTCGCTCAGGATCATGCATATTGGCACCCACCGTTCCGCATGTGGGATTAAGTATATTCGCCTATCAACTCTGAACTTTAGATGAATATGAAGAGTCAACACTAGTGCCCATCTGGTCATATTTCCCTCGAGTGGGACAATGATACGTGCAGCTCACACCCAAAGCCGCTCACCGTTTGGGACTTTGGTCAGTCACGTCATGTTGGCCACCATCTGATGTGCTGTTCTGCCACTGGCGATCTCAAGAAGCTGCCGGATACCCGACTCAAGAGTCACCGAGAAGGACCTATCTGAATGAAAGAGCGCTAATTCTGGCTATCTGGTTTCAGTCAAACTCGAAGATGCCAGCCAGAATCTCGAAGCAATCGTCGATTTCAGTTGAGTTCACCTGGCCTGTGCGGTGTGATTGCTGAAGAAATGGAGAGAGTCGGCAACCAATAGAAGGCGCAATTCAAGAGGGGCACATCTGAAAACGGTAATATTTTGGATTAAGCTTCTTCTTAGGTGAGGGTCCCAAGCAGTGCCAAGTCCACCAACGAATCAACAATCCTTTCCCCTGCACTAACCATTCAACCCTCTCACTAAACCATCAGACCCAACCGGCTACTCCTGCAAAACGGCGTCCCGCTTGTGGCAGAGGAAATTGTTGTCCTGGGTATGCTTGGATCCATCCACTGCATAATCATGCGAGTGCAGTGCAGCGTGTGGCCGTACTCGAGCAAATCCTCATCGACAGGCTTATTCTTGATCACGGCGTGATGAAGTCTCCGCCACAAGTAGAGACAGTGAAAGATGTGATAGTCTCCGCTGGGATACACCTTATCAAACTCGCCCCGCAAGACGAGCTCGGAGGGGTAGACTCTTGTATGCTCCTTGTCCTCGTACCAGGTGAAGTTGACGTACGGCTGCTCGTCGAGCATGCCTTCGAGGGCCGTCTGGTCGAAGCATTCGGGAGCATACCAGCGTGATGCCATGACATCAAAGTGGCAGCCGAGAGCCTTGGCCTCTTGCCAGGTATCGCCGCACTGCGTGCCTGGAGCCTCGATGCCGTCAATCATGGCGACGGTTCCGGCGACTGGTTTGGCATTGTTGGGTTGTTGCGGTGCTGGCCTATGCGTAATCATTGCAACGATCGAAGCACCAATTCCGATGCCAAAGACAAGGCTCAATCCGTTCAGAAAGATCATGAGGAATATGGGGGAGAGGAACCTAGATTTGCGTCCAGATTCGGGGCCATTGTCGCTCTCGTCAAGCTCCTCCTCGATGGAGGACTTGACATCAGATGTCTGAGAAACTTGGCTGTAACTGTGTTTTGGTGCCATTGAGTGTGTAAAGAAGGAAGATGGCTGGAACCGAAGATTCTATTCGAAGAGCGAACCGGAGGGCCCCCCAGAAGAATAATTACTGATGGCTTAGAACCGCGGCTTCGGCATGGGAACTTCGTGGTTCGGGCCATCTTTCTATTCCAGGACATATCATTCAAATCACACGGCACTCGGAAGTCCTTCCAAGTCCCTACTACTGTGTTATCAGCTTCATGTATCTCGGTCCACTCAGCTGTAGGTGACAGTCCGCATAGCATCAATGATCCTTCCTCCGGGCCCACGACCGACCCTGGTATGTTTGCCAAGTCACCGTGCAGATCAAGGAGGGGTATTTGGACTAATCTGGTAAGCAACTATGCTAGGCCCGAAAGCCTATCAGCATGTTTGAGACAGGCGTAAACCAGTCCCCCTCCTCAAGTGCCTAGGCACATCCTCCCAGGTCGCGATCTCTCACATCAATATCTCCCTCAACCAGAAGTCTTCCAGCATTGGCTTTGACATTGACACTGACCACGCTGAAAATGGCGCCCAAAGAGAAATGGTGAGTCTAGGATGCTTCTTTGGAGAGAATCAGGGGCTGATACAATCATTCAGGCATAGTACACACGACGAAGAGCAGTCTCTCATGGCCGAAAACTGTGACGACGACTCAGTCTCTTCGACTACGGGGTTTCGAAGCCACAAAACTTCACGATATCGCCAGCTATTCAGGCCGTCAATCTCAACCATGAAGGACTTGATTTTGGTTGCATTCGCAATCTCGGGCTTTGTTAGCCTCCTCCAGTCTCCAACAAACATCCACTCTCACTTCCAGTCGGAGGGAACCGCAACACCGGACAACTTGCACGCGGCACCCGCAGTCACGTCTTGCGATTGCGGAAATTCCACCGCAGAAGCAGTCACTTTGGGCTGCAAATACGACTCTCTGGCCGCCGCTTGGCTTCCCGAGCACTGTCGGGATGACGAGCTGACGGCCGAGTTTGAGCGCTCCGGGCCCGGCCCCGATGGGCAGTGGACGTACTGGGCTGATACCGCGCATACGCAAGAAATCAGCGTCGAAGAGATTGCGAAGATGGCAGATAACCAAGAGGAAATGCGGTTTCATATGTCTGGTCATTGGCATGTCCTGCATTGTATCTTCTACTGGAGAAAGGAGTACAGGGCGCGCTTCAATGGCAAGATTGTCGAGCCGCGGTCAGACAACGAGAAGCATATAAAGCATTGCGGCAAGATCTTCTTGGATCCGGGTTATGGCACTGTGGCTGGGGTGGCGTTGAACACTGATATGGAGTAAGAAGCGAGAGTTCCCTTCAATTTCAATGCCTCGCGCGCATTTGCCATGGAGTATGTGACATATTGTTCAAGTCTCTTGAGTTCAGGCACTTTTCTAGAATCTTTTCATAGATAGATTCAAGTCGATCAGATCCAGATGTGTTTTGAAAGAATTACTAGTAGGACGCGCATGTGTCTTGTCCTGCCATTGGGTTGGCACTGCCCACTTTGCCCGCTTCTATATCAATAGGACAAATCCACATACTACCCGCATACCATGATACCACAAACTGCAACATTGTTCAAGTCTCAACTACATGGCTCCTCAAGCATTGAAACTTCCGTCGCCTACTTGCAAGTATCGGCCGCTCAACGATGAGACCGCAACCAACCCATCTGCGACTGCCAAAGGCTCCACCACCAGACAGCCAAGCCGGCTTGTATTCGTCTCGCTACTCGCAACAGTCACTATCCTCGGAACTCTACTACTGATTCTACTATCCCTGCATCTACGTCTTCTACAGTCAACAGTACCAAAACAGAAACTGAGCTGCGGCAGCAGCGTCGCCGAAGCCCAGCAAGCAGGATGCACCTTTGACCCTCTCGCAAAAGCCTGGCTGCCCGCCGCCTGCCCCCGCTACGGCCTAGCCGAATTCGAAGCGGCAGCGGGCGCAACGCACAACCAATCTCGTTGGCGATACTGGCGGGACCAGGCCGGAGAAGAGGAGCTCAGCATGGGAGACCTCGCATCTCTCGGGAGGAGCGAGAAATGGTGGGGCACGGAGCGGGAACACTTGACGCACTGCGCGTGGATGCTGGTTCGAAAGGCGCGCGCATTTGCCGATGGTGGCAGGGTGGATAAGCTGACGGCGGACTTTGATCACTCCAAGCACTGTACCATGCTTCTGCTGTGGAGGGCGCTGCAGGCTGAGGGGATAGACGAGATGGATACGAGCGGAAACGTTGTGTTTGGAGGATGCTGATGCTTGTCTCTCGGAGGCTAGAACTGGTTGGTAGTTTCGAGGGAAAGTCTGATACAACTGCACGATACAGAACTTTTGCAAAATTCATCACCTCGCATCGGTAAACTCGGCAACAAAGATGCTCGATAAGTGTTTCTCTTCAGCAGAGTGGGCTATCTGCTACCATCTGATTGAGTTGATGTATCTGTGGTGATTGCAGAGACAACAACCTTGAAGACGGAACTCCGACTCACCATGTTGGTGCAATCAAGCATTGACTGCATGCATTAGCTCGAGAGGCAAACCACCGCTGTCTCAGTGAGGGACTTCTGTTATCGTAATATCGCTATAGACGGGAATAGTGAGAAAGTATCGAAGAAGCGGGTTGGATCAAGTCTTGTGCGAGGATGAGGGGGATGAGTAGGACGAAAAGAAGAGGAGGAGGGGACAGAACAGAGAGTAAGAGTCGTTTTTTTGCAGCGGTCGTTGCATTGCCAACATCGTGAACTAGATCTCATAGAGTAGGAACCTAGCAACTGAAGAGAACCAATTCACTCAGTTTCTCGTGAGTTCTGCATCTGATTACCTGGTATGCTTCCCGATTGAACTGACACCTTACAAGACGCAACTCCAGTATGACGACGGTTCCTCAAGCCGAATACGACGAGGACGAGCCTTTCCTCGCTGAATCACCGTACACTGGCAAGGAAAGGAAACACACAAGGCTCGAATCCGTGAAAAGGTTCCTCGGTCCTTTCCTCATTGGCGTGATCGCCTCATCTATCCTGTGGGCGGTGCCTCTGATCATCAATCGGACATCAGCGGTCACGAATGCCATTGCACCAGCTGCTCCTGTTATTACGAGCTGCGGCGTGAGCCCAGACGAAGCCCGGGCCAGGGGCTGCCATTTCCAGCTCTGGTCATACAGCTGGGTGCCGCACAACTGCTTCGACGTCGACTTACACGACGACTTCATCAAGCTACATGACAAGGAGGACTGGAAATACTATCGCAACAACAGTAGCGAGATAACAGAAGCAGCGAAAATTTCGTCTCTCGAAGAGGTCTCGCTGGATCAGGTCCTTCTTGGGGAGGGCGACGGCCTGTACTCTACCTGGGGCCAGCATTACTGGCACTGCGCGTTTTATCTGCGGCGCTTCTTCCGGGCCACGGGCGGCATCACCAACCGGGATCGGGACGCGCACCACAGCGTGCATTGCCAGGCATGGCTGGCGGATCCGTTTGCGCACGACTGGGGAACGGTGAATATCCACTTGGAAGTAGGCTACCATGAGTGTGAAGGGGACGGGCTGCGAGTGCTGGATAGAGAACATGTCGTGTAAAGCTCCTCGTTGTAGAGACGAAAGCCGTGAGGTGCCTGTTTAGTTACTTAGTACGGAATCTTGCTCGTAAAATGACTTAGGAAACCTAATCTGTAATTTGATGAGAACTTCCCGCCATTTATTTTCCAACTGTAATCGCTAGTATCCTTTGTGATTACTATCTTTGTCAAACGTTTGCAATCTGTGTAGCATGGCCTTGACGTGTCTATCTGTCTTCCCCCTCTCTCTGCATAGCGGGGCAGGGAAGGCAAATTTGATGGGCGACTTGTATTTGTAGTGGACATCCCCGCTGTATTGTCCCTTAACGCCCACTCCCCGTCTTCGCTGTAAATCCGTCATCATCCGTCCACCACCAAACACAAAGATGATGGACCCAAAGTCCAAGTACTCTCAGCTCCAGAGTCAAGAAGCAGACGACGGAAATTCTGAAGAAGAAACCGTGTATCCAGACATATCAGCAAGACCCTACAGGCTAGCTTCTCTGACCACTCTTCTACTGGTATACTGCGCCTGTACCACGTCACTCATTCTCGCAGCTGTGGCATTCGCTCTCACCTCACCCGACGGTGTTTTCCATCACAAGGCACAATCCAGTCCTTTTCAAATTGAGGCAGTCTTTGGTCGGAGTTGGGCTCACATGTCGCTTGATCCCAAGTACGACGGCCTCTGGGAAGACGTTGAAGGAGATTCCGGCTCCATCATATTCAACCTCACAGATCCCGCACAAGGTAGCATGGGTATGAGCGCCACCATCGCCATGTAAGTACACCCTTCCCTTCGATAAAGAACGCACTACAACACGATGCTGACCGATTATTCATACAGGTTTCACCAACTCCATTGCCTCTCCATATTTCGAAACGTCCTGCAAGAAGCCCATCGAGGGGTTGACCCGGGACTAGACTGGAACGACCACGATCACTGGCCGCATTGCCTTGACTATATGCGCAAGGTACCTATTGCCTTAACACTGAGTCCCCATGTAGCTTTTCTGAGCTAACATGCTTCATGTAGAGCATTCTTTGCGCAGCGGATGGTACGATAGAGCAGCAGCCGATTCTGCCCAACGGTACAATCGCGCCTTTCATTGATGGCTCTCAGGATGTTCGGCATTGTGGTGATAACAGGCGCCTGATAAAGCAAATGAAGACGTACGGCAAGACTGTTATAACTAAACCGTTCCCGTAGATACAGCCGGAGTCAAATTTTCATCTCATCCCATTCCCAGGTATGGGAGCCAAGAACACAACCTGCACCCTACCTAGACCATGCGAGATGATTCGAGAACACATCTCCCCTCCTTGTGATCATTGAGAGCATCTACATGACAGACAAGCTGGAGCGAAAGCACTCTTACGTCATGAAAAACCATGACTCTATGCCAGTGCAGACTCTTGACGACGATTTGTGCATGACTCTATCATGATTTCGTGAGTTTGAATGTTCCAAGACAGGGCATGGAAGGTATTATGAAATCTGGGCCGGGATTACAAGGTTCCACTGAGAAGAGCTGACTGTGTTCGACAGCGATTCGGCCGAGGACGCAGCTGCCATTACTTGTTCACTTGGTCTCCTTCGTCGCCATGGAATGCTAGCTATTTGGGACGACAGACTGTCAATCCCTTTCAACGGCATGGAGACAAAGACCAGCATACAACTTTTTATGTGTTCCACCGCATCGTATGCGTTTGGTGAGTAATCGTACGGGGAAGTACACTGCAGCAAGGACGTGGGTTTAGAGGGAGGACGGGTCCACTTTTATGCTCAATATGCAGTGGGCAGTAAGGTAGAAGAGGCCAGCAGCTGCGCGGAGTCCCTGACTAATGCTGAAGGTATTCATGCAATCCGTCTCCTTGCCATCTGGCACAACAGCATCACCCCTGACCACCGACGATGGCTGAAGCCCTAGGCATTGCCTCGGCGCTAATAGCCATAGTCACGGCGACGATACAGACAAGCCAAACTCTGTATGATACAATTCAAAGCTTTCGAAGTCACCAGCGATCGGTTCAGCAACTCTTGGATGAACTTTCGGCCCTGAAAGAGGTTCTCCAGTCCCTGGACACTCACATCCAGATCGAGGATGACGCGAATCTAGCCTCGCTCAAGACACCTCTCCTTCAATGTCGTCGAGCTTGTGCTGATTTCGATACGCTGATGACTGAGTGCACTAAGTATTCCGGGCGGCCGAGAACTAGCTTCCGAGGCTGGGTAAAAGTGAGGTATATGGAGAGCGATATACACGGCTTCACCAGTATGCTAGCGGGCTATAAATCAACCATAGCTATCGCCCTAGGTGATGCGAATCTGTCAGTCACTCATCGAGATATCTCGTGTATTGTGCGTGCTAATGATACGAGGCAGTCGCTCTGCTACGGTCACCATTCAGCTGCTTGGAGAGTACAAGGACATGATCCACAGCACAACACAAGACCTGGAGGATCACCTCGAAGATATTAACGAGAAGTTGAGCCGTCTTGCTTCAAACAATATACCTTCATCCCCGGCAGTTACTACCGATATAGATCGGATCCAGAACGAGAGGGACAGCACAGAGGTTTGCCTCCAGATCTGTGCCAAAGTCCAAGCCCACATCGACACCATGCGCCTTCAGCCAATTCCATGCAGTCCGCCATCGCAAGGGATGTCCTGCCGGGACCTGGGGCACGCGACTGTCATGACTCTATCGACTTTGGACCACTGCAAACAGATGATAGCTGACAACGTGTCGGAGCTGCACCGGCACCAAGATGAGAACAAGAGACGACTGGCACGAGGAACCAGCGAGATTTCTCTGCCCACAGAAACCGACATTCAAAGCTTGAAGAAAGAGCTCGACAGCACTAAAGAATGTTTGGCCATATGCAACGCCGCATCACAAAGAGCAGTCAAGGGGGTCCATGTATTGGAGGACATGAGCACAGGCCATGATGGACAGCAGCTGTTTGTCTCTACTCTGGGGGATCTCTTCAACGTGAAAGGAGCGAGCACAGGCGACAGAGGCATACAATTTGTCGGATCGGTATCAGAAGAGGCACTGCGGATTTTCTTCCAGAGCCAAACGAAAAAATAGAGTTATCAAGGTTCATTAAACACGCCAACTCCCTTCTATGTTGTCGTCGTAGATGGGCCAGAATCTTGTGTAAAGGAGGCCGTCGTCCGTCCTGTCCCTCGAAAAGTCGTTGCAGGAGGGGTATTATGTGGCCGGTCCGTATGTGTTCGATGCGAAACTACCATTTTTCCAAGTTCCTGGACAGACCCCTCGCCCCAAGCCCCAACGCATTGGAACGAGCTGTCGCCGCCTTCAACGTTCTTGGCATCATACAAGTGGTTTTTTGTAGACACCAGGAGCTGTACACCATTTGCGCCAACCTTCAAGTGCTCGAGCTTATGTGTTGGGAGAGGGTTGTTGTCGCGCATGGATTCGCGAGAGTGGTCGTCATCGTTTGCCATGTCGACGGCAGGGTCATCGCTGGTGGAAGGAGCAACGGTTTCGTTCATTGGAGTGTTGAAGTGCTGATCGGAGAGTATAGATGACAGATTGCCTTCCTCGATTGCTACATGTCCTCTGTCTCCTGCGAATAGTCTTGGGACAAGAACAGTTCAAAGTGGCTGTTGTCCGACGGATGCTATGAGTGTGGACGAAATTACCCCGCACGGAGTCAGCCTGCGCGATGTCTGCCTATCCACCCCGCGCTTGATGCTCGGATGATGGGCAGCGGTATCCACTTCTGGTCGTTACTATGGTATGGTCGGCATGCTGTTTATTCTTGGAGGACGGGTACTGGCAGTGTGGTGGTTTCATCGATACGACTGTATATTTCGGCTGGGCTGCATCCTTCGGTGCTAAATTCCAAGCCAATCCGGATGTGAGGCAATCTGCAGACCCGATTCAGTTCGACAGCTGTTGTATATACGGCCCCATAGAAACCTATGGAAAGTGCAACCGTCGTGATGTCGGCCATCTAACAGTAGTCAAATGCGACGTTTCTCGACTACTATGGCGTCAACATTAATCTTAAAACATCACTCATTCAACTGCCTATTGCTGCGCCCCCCCCCCCCCTCCTAATAACCTTCACCCCTCCTGTGTCCGTTTTCAACTTCAGCTCATTCCCATCTTATCTTCACACTATATTCTCACGAATATCCTAAGTAGTCTAATTCCCTAGACCAAGCCGACCCTTATAAACAACTCAGGTGCTAATACGCGTTTCCATGGAGCGGTCTGCCAACCGTCGTTCGCCTAGCCGCACCAATTGAACCGTTCTTCCTCCTTTCAGACGGGAGCGAAGAGAATTTACAAGCATAGCGCACCTTTTTACAGCCATTGGTATTAAAGCCCTCCCAAAAACATCGCCGAGTGCAAGATGGCATGGCATTAATAGGATATTGAGCTTCGCAAGACTTGCCAACCACTGAAGTAGCAAATACGTAAAATAGGTGCGAACATTATCGAACTCATAGAACTTGCGTGTAGGGGTGAGAGACAAAGCTCAATCAAGACCTTCTTTCCCGAGATAATTCCCTTGTCGGACGTAGAGGGAAATGAGGAGACGCATGTAGCTCTCCAGTCTCTGCTCTAACAGCTGACCGCGTGTCGAGAAGCGTAGGTAGATAATGAATAGAGATAGCCGATATGCCCTTCAAAGGAATATTTAAAACATACTATCACATCCAGTCTAGGCAAGAGCCGAGCCAGTCGAGGGTTCTCTTCTGGCTATTATCATTATAAACGTAAGTGAGCATTCATCACGCTAATATTTTCAGCATACCCACTACATCTTAAACCTTCAATCATATCCTCGGTCCCAAATATGTTTTAGGCGGGTTTCCTCGCTCAGCAATAACCCGTTCACAAGTAGACCTAGGCTTATCAAAATACTGCTCAGTCGATCCTTTATAGCCGTCTTACTTAAGTTCCTACCGCTCGGAGCCTTTCTTCTCTAAAAGCTTATAAAACAAGGCATATAATATCAGAAATCCAGGCATACTTTGATACCGTAGAAGCTTTGTATCAAAATTATACAGCAACTTATAAAACAATTTAATGGGCATACTACTTAACTAAAAATAGCTTTGTCAGGTTAGTTAGGTCACAGTCTTGCGATATAGGTTCATTCATTATTACACTGCCCCAACTTCCAAGAGAAGCTCTTCAACGGTCAGATCTAGGCTACTGATTTGGGACAATCTCGAACAGCACTATTATTACTGCGAGTGACTTCTCGCTTAATCGTCGTTATGATTTTCTGACCTCCTTCAACGTATAATTAGCGCTTGTCGAATTCTAGCGGGCTTCACTGACAATTTATACAATTCTAACTGATGCAATTCTGGCATCAGTAACTACGTAGCGTTGCACTTTGCGGCTCTTCAGGCGACTGTCCAGATCCTTGCGACTATATGCATTCGGAGTTTAAAGTGAGATAAGACTGCGAAATGCGATCTCAGTCTCCTCCATCTTGAGTTTACGCGATCACACTTCCTCATCGGAACCTTTATTGCACGTGCAATTTTTGCAGTGGTGGCGCCCCTTCGTCCTAGTGGGCCACGCCTTCCTAAGATAACCCTCAAAGCGGTGCCTATACTCGGAAATCTCGCCCGAAGAGATGATCCAGACCAACAAGAGCCCAGTCACTGGAAGTGAAACGCCCCAGTAGACCCAGAAGAGTCTCTCTCCCGCAGCGAAATCCCCTCCCATCGAGAATATTGCCGAGATTATTGAGAACGGGACAGCAACCGTAGCCAGCTTGGTCAATTGCCCCGCGTTTCGAGCTTGTCGGTTGTTTACAAAAGAACGTTGCATGTCGGCCCATGTTCTTAGCGTGCCCTCAACCTCTTGCAGCCTATCGTCAACTTTGTTCCAGCGCATTTGTTCCACTGCGACTCCCTCAGTAGAATCCTTGACTGAGCCAAATGTCAAAGCCGTACTGCCAGAATCTTCTCCCCATTGGTCAACGTCGGGGGCAAGGAAGCAATCTTTGATGTGTTTGATGAGAAGCCTTTGTTTGCAGATGGTGGGTCCCTTATTCATGATATTCTGGTAGGCCTTGCCGTTGGTATCAAAGGTGCTTTCTAGCCGTTTTACAGCTGCAGTGCTGCTGAAGTCCCTCCATTGGGCTTCGTCTCTCCAGAGCTCGTCATAGAGTGTCGACTGATTGCGGCAGGCGGAGTCTTCCCAGAGTGAAAGGACCAAATTTCGAACGGGCACAGTCGCGACAAACGGATCTCGCAGCTCGGAAATGATACCGAAGTTTCTATCATATGCCCAGCGAAGGTTTTCGTACATCATCCGTGCATGTGGAGCGACGCTTGATGCATCATTGGCGCCGACGATGACCTCTCTGGTGAAATACATTCGGTCGTATCCAACATCCGACAGACTGATCCGATCGGTCTCCTGTCCTTTCTTCAGCTTTCGAAGGGTTGTCTGCCGGGGATCCATAAGGATGACAACTCCAAAAGAATATTATTAGATACGCTCGAGAAGCAAGTTTGGGGGCCTGATAACTCACTTGTCCAGCCAGACTCACCATGCGTCATGCCCCAGAAAGAAATGAGACTATAGAATAAGATAGATGACAATGCCGCGTTTCTAGGCAGGACTACCTTAAACCGATCGAAAGCCCCTACTTGAATTACACTTTCGGTGTCTTCCTGCTTCACCGTCGAGGGCGCTGCTCGGACTTGTGGAACAGAAACTCTCCAATATTTGGATCGTCCGTATCGATTCCGGACCTCATCAACTGGACTAAATCGACTCGTTTCATCACAATGCGCAAGCCAAAACTCTGGCGGTATGTCGAGCTTGACTCCAAGCATCTCCGCCATCCGCGGGTCCACATCTTCCAGTATGATGAGCCTCCTGAAAGGCTTAGTAGCATCAAACGCCTCATCGAAATGTAAAAACAAGTCCCTGGCGCTCAGTTCCTGGTGTGCCACATCACATGGAACAGGATGTGATCCAAAGTTGCAGACATAGAACCTGGGCACATTCTGCCGAGACGTGGTGTCCCATGGATGACTGAGACCGAACTTCACAAAACCCTCGGCAACGGCTTCTTCAACGCGAGTCTGATATCCGGCTGTCAACCGAATCATCTCACGATTCTCACCCCAGAACTCCTCGCGGCCTGTGTCCAGTTAATGCCCTGAACGAGAAAAGGAGTGGCAGACTGACTTAATGGCACGAAGTTGATAGACATAATGTTGAGCTTGGAGGACGAGAGTTGCAAATGACTTTCCCGACTTCACTCACGCTCACGGCAGCGGTTGGTCCTGGGACGGCTTTATATCGTGGCGCAAACTATGGCATTTGATGCCTATCTTGCTGATGACTAGCGTCAGTCTCGGCGGATTTACGACGTCCTTTCTTTTGTTCACGATCGTTTCTCGCAATAACCCAAACAGGATACCAACAACCTGAAAGCTGCATTATTGTGGGCCGACTAGCGGTTCAAAGTGAAACACAATTTCTGAGCTGAAAGAACCCCCTGCTCTAGTAACTGTCAGCGAGCCTCAAAGTCCACGTCCTCGTCACTCTCGCGTTTAGATAATTTGACCACGCAGTATGCAACTGGAACATCAGTGGAGTTTTGGCGACATGCATGTCTTTGAACTTGACCCCATCACGAGCGGTATCCTTTCGAGAAGACTTGGCCTGGCCAATTAGACTCTTGCATTGCCGTTTAGCTGGCGGCGATCATGCCCCCGTTCCTTGTAGCCTGGCGGTTCTTACGACACCTGGGGGCATGTGGTAAGCAGCACTTGCACAAAAGGTCCTGGACTCTCGCTGAATATCAAGAGGATCCCTCACTGTCAGTTCATATTTTAACCTTTGGAAATGGACTCTGCATGAAATCGTTGGTGCATGGTCGATCCATGAAGTGCGTGGTCGGAACAACAGAAGGGATAGCAACCTCCAAACATGCTGTTCTCGCGTATGCGCATCTCGGGCAGTCAATGGTCCACGCAACTCTCAGACCCTTACCAATCAACCCTACCAGTGCCCGCCTCACTTCGGACAGCATTTCCACAATCGCGGCGCGTCCTTCATGCCAATTGGACAAAGGGTACTGTATACCCTGAAGTGAAGCAAAACACCAAGCCAATAGCCGATATGAATTGTCAGAAACCACCTTAGCTGCAAGTCTCATCACCTCCAGCTGAGACTGCAGGTATCCCGAATGAGCCAAACCCCATCAACACTATCAAGAAGGGGGGGGGGGGGGGGGCAAAAGAAACTATGGCAGCAGCGACCCGCATCCACCTGGTCTTCCGGCACAACGCGTGAACGCCAAAATCCATACCCTCGGGACAACTGTAACCGAATCCATAGTACAGATCCTCTTTCTTAGCCACCGAAAGTGAGACTGATAAGAGACTGTTAGAGTACTAGGCAGAAAGGTCGACTTAGGGGGCGGTCCGGGCCCATGCAAACGAAGTCTTCTCCTCTCGTCACATACGGCCCGTCTACGTCTGGCGGTATAGTGCGGGCCGAGGGAGAAACACTTCACTGCCCCATATATTACAGACTTACACCCAACGGAGGAATCGTGGGCTCTTCCCACCAACTTTATCCTCCAGGTTCCACATACCACTACGCAGTTCAACATGCGATTATTGAGCTTCGTGCCAGCCGAAAAGCCTTGCTCTACCGGTGTGTATACCAACACATACCTTCCAAGTTGAGGTTAAGTATGCGCAGCCAGTCAGTAGAGGAGAAACGATGTACGTACCATAGACAATCATCCAACTGAGGTCAGAGTCCGAGGACGCACGACTCCACGGATGCGGCTCGACCCATAACCGACCACGACTCCCTTAATCACACTTAGTGGAAATGGGAAATGGGGAAGGAGCAGTGGCAGGTACAGAGGCAAAAGAACGAGTCAGAGGATGCAGGTTGCAAAGTCTATCCTGACTCCGACTAGGAGCCAAAGTTCAGGTACCGAAGGAGAGTAAAAGTTTGGGTGTCACGGATGGGATGATTGTACATGTAACTTCGAAAGAGATCCCACTTGCCAAGACAGAGACATAGATGCCTTCAGACTGGTGAATTTGGTACTGTCTGAAGAGGGAGCAGACGACTGTTCGTTCTAGATTTTCTGTGTTGCCTAGCTGAGATCATCCCCTTCATATGGGTGGGCGGTGCCAGCGTATCTATGGGCAATGTGTGAGTTTAGATACACATCTTCCAGAGATTGATCTGGTTTAATTTCTTGACCTCTGCTGGTCTGGTGGAATCTCGTAGCAGACAACTTTCGACCGAAAGGCTGCTCTGTTGATCGATACCACCAAGCTCATTATCAACTAGCCACTATGCGACGTAGCTAGTCTTGCCACCAAGCTGGGACTCTCTTACACGCCGGCGCAAAGCTTCACTTTCCATACTAAGCAGACAATTTCATCCTCCATTAATACGTCTCGAAGAAAGTCAGAATGTGTTTGATAGCTTGTCTTCTCTCATTGCACCGAACTCTGTCGAGTCTCGGCCCAAGGCTTGCGAACAGGTTTCAAAAGCTTCAGTGGAAATGTCAGGCAGAAAAGGGTGCCACGGGGTCGAAACCCGCAAACCAGGTACCACATTTCTATTCCCAGCACAAACATCAAGTGATGTCCGCCATCCGACCAATGCGGGCAAAACTATCTGCCCGCATGCCTATCGACGTCCAAAGTTGGGTGTGAACCCCGACGAACGCAAAATAATTCTCCGAGGACGTAAAAGCCAAAAAAAAAAATAAAACGTGAAAGGATCTACAAAACCGGTCGAACGCGCGTCTCCCATGTTCTAATTATCGCACACAGGCCGTTAAAAGGCTTGATGAACCCCGGTTTGGGATTCAGAAAGTGTGTGGAATACAGCTTGCTGAAGATGGTTGCTCTTTCGCGTCTTCCAGCATTCCCGCTGCCCGTTTGGCCGTCCGCCCTGGTGCTTCGGCCAACCATCCTGACCACTTAGTGCATTGGTTCCTGAGCATCCAAGTCAGGCGCGCGCGGATCAGAGATGCGACGCTCCACTAGCTGAAATCGTGAGCATGGTAGGATCTTGTCGCAAGCAATCACTGAGAGGATTCTTATTCTTGGAACATCCCATAAGTCCTACTCGTTCGCCTCAACCCCCGGAAACCCCAAGATAAGTTTGCTGTCAAGCATTGACGACACATCTAACTTCAGTATCTGGTATGAGACAGAGCTCGGGGTCCAGTCACAAACTCAGAAACTGGTCTCAAGTTTAACCAGTTTATCGGGTAATGTTTCCCCAAGCGACCTGTTGCTAGTCAGTCTCCCGGACTTGAGTCAGCTCCACGCAGACTCGGCAGGTACCCGAAATACCTTCGTCAGAATGTGAATCTTGAGACAAACAACACCAAAAAAACATGTTAAGCAAAAGTTCAACCTCCCACGATGGAAATCGCGTCAAAAATATGGACGATCTGGGAATCGAACCCAGGACCTACCGCATGCTAAGCGGTCATTATACCACTAAACCAATCGCCCATGGCATGATCTAGCCCGGACTTGAACCGGAGACCTTCAGTGAACAGCCGAAGGTTTATGAAACTCTCGAGATGTTAGACTGACGTGATAACCAACTACACCACCAGACCAATTGATTGATGATAGAGTCGGCGAGCAAGCGCAACATTAGGGCAGGGTTGTCGACAGGAACCTCCAGGAAGCTAGGCGGAACCCGGCAGGACGGATGCGAGTGAGTGGGTCCAGGGTCTCCGGGCGGGCTGGTCTACCGAAATTCCAGACGACCAGGTAGTTGGGACCCATGATCAATGACCTGCGTGCCCATGGGCGCCATTGCGCGGAGTAGGCCCGTTGTGATATTGCCAGAAAACATGAAGCTTTAGGGCAAGTTGACGGATTTATGCGTTGTATGCGATGTGCTGACTCGTTATGATGGCTAGGCCTCAGAAGCCAGCCAGCCAGCCAGAGTCCTGGTGCTAGATGAAGTGTGTTCTACTCGTGTGACACCATTGTGTGAGCTTGATGCGAGACATGAAGAGACTGCCATTGTGGATTGTTAGTACTGTTGGAGGGGTCGAGTGAAGAGACAAGTTGTGGGGTGGAGACAGCCCCAGCACACACTTGCAATATATCGCTCAATACCATAGTTCAGTCCGAAGATCGTGGCGGACATAGCTCAGTTGGGAGAGCGTCAGACTGAAGCGGATCTGATCCGGAAGACTTCAATCAATCAATCTGAAGGTCGTGTGTTCAATCCACACTGGCCGCATCTTCGCTTTTTGTTGTCGCGCGTAACTGGGGGCGTTTGCTGTGATGGTGAATTTCGCCGAACACGAAAGCGGTTGCTGTCCTTTTGTCTATTTCGGTTCCGCGTATGTGGTAAGAGTCAAAAAGCATTAGGCTTTTTGCGGCTCTGTGAGAAGGGCCAAATAGCGTCTAGCTAGCCGGCCAGTGAGCAACGTCATACGATCGAGATAGATGATGGTTGGTGGTCAGTGAGATGGTGTGCACATTGTCTTCGGGAGTTGACACCGAAGTCTGGCTATTCATAGGACTGGCTGAAGGAATGATTGCTTCTGGGCCCGAAAAGCGCTCTACATTAAGACCAGATCGTGATCGTAAATGCCCGCCCTCTGTTCGTCTATCCACTAGTTACCGTCGTTCGATCTCGTGGCCTGGTATTCGATACAAGGTGCGTCATAAAGAATCAAATGCTCCTAGGTCATGGCCAGCGCAGGCTCGTCCGGTCGAGTCGCTCGACAATTGGGATCGGGTTCAGATGGGTGGAAGTTCAGTCGTTCGGTTGGATTTCCACTTGTGGAAAGGCTCATCGCTTGCCGCGTATGCCAGACAAAATGGGCGTCCCCAACCGGTCCGGTCAGTGCGAAGATTGGAGCGCGTAACAAACATCAGCCGGATTTCGCGCGTGGTAACGCCGGAACTGGACAACAATGCCCATCAGCGGCGGCTTTGGACCATCTGACGAGGCTGTTAAGCGGATCGATAGTGCCCGGACCGCATTGTTCTCAGGTTTGCGAGATGTGTTTCTAGTCGCCACCATCGTGAGCAATGGAAAAACACGATGCTGAGCACACGCAGTCCTCCTCGGTGCCGTCGGCTCCGTCTCCGCATTTTCCAAATGCTTCGCATTATACCAGACTTTCGAGGTGTGCTGGCCGGCTGCCGTCTTGGCAGAGAAACGCCGTTCAGGCGAATCCAAGGAAACTTCTGTCATGGGTGGTGGATAGAGGACGGGTTTCTGTAGAGCTAGCTACCATGCCGTCTCGAATACCAAACATGGAGCCAGCGCATCGACGTACCCGAGGCGGGGCAGGAAATCCCATGGGCAGGAAGACGAGAGCCACGCCGACTGGGTATAGGCTGAGAGAAAATCATGTTCTCCCAGGGCTGACCGTGGCTCAAGGGCGAGTTAGTTGTAAGTTTATCGTCTTCTTCCTTGCCTGTTATACGTGGCTGCGTGTCGGACGCGCTCAGAGTTGCGGGAAGGCACGTCGTTGGTGTGGTAGCTTTCCCATGCAGATCCCCCTCTCGATTCCTTCGTCATGCTAGTCCCGGAGTTAGAGGGGCCACACATCGCACGCGCGGCCACCAGCAGGCCTCGCCTGCTCCCCAAGTCCGGTAGCAGATTTGCAGGCGATCTTTGTGCACTGCCTTCCCGGCGACAGTGAACGGCCGCTACTGGGCATGCATGGATGGAACCGGCCGGAGACGATGACAGGCAGGCAAACAGCTAAGCATTGCGGGCTGTCGGTAAATCTTGCCCTAGCTGAGGATGAACCCTGTGCCTATTCTTGGACATCATTCTTGGCAGGCCATGCGTTTCTTCATGGCGGCGCAAACATTGTGTGTGCTGACAATGAGCATTGACTTTGGTCTGGTTGTCGGATGCAGAAAGAGGCCGTGATGATATCAGTTGCACGGAGAAATCAGCGAGCAGGTTTGATGCATTGCAGGGAATGGGAATGGGGTGTGTGTCGAAAAATGACGAATGCCCCAGACGGAGATGGCGACGCCCATGACCATGGCGTCCTCAAGAGACACCCAGCGGCAGGATCCGAGACAAGGCTGTTGTGTTGGTGGTGGGATGCCTGGGTGCCGTCACAACGGTTGTTTGGTGGTGTTGAAGGCGGCTCAAATGGGCTCGTAAACGTCGTATAAGGTATATAGTAACTTCAGTAAGAGGAAAGTTGGTGATGGAGGGCCTGTCTTGCTCTTGACGCGGGCGGCTTTAGAGTTTAGGCTTGGCTCGTAGGAGATCTATAGGTTGATTGCGATATCGAATCTCGGATTTGCCAGACACGTTGCATTGGGGTGAGGGGGGGCGCGGGATCAGGGAGATCCAAGAGTGAGGGAAAGGGGACGACGCAGCAGCGAAGAAGCTTACTGCAAAGCTAAAGATACGGCGCTTCGAGAAGGAGAGGGCGACAGGGCCTGACTCTGGTCGTTTGGCTGCTGTGGTCGTCGTGTCTGGGTGGGTTGAAGTTAGAAGTTGGTCGGAGATGGGATGAATGTGGAGGAATTGCGCTACACTAACAATTTCTGGCGCGTCTCGGCCAGTAAGCGAGCCGAGAGGAACCCCTGCATCCGTGCCAGAGTAGGCAAGTACTTGATGGGTGTTCCTGCAGGTATTCCGTCCGTGCAGGATTATGTGCAAGATACTTGGTGATACTCTTAGAAATGGTGAATAAAGTAGAGTAGGAGGTGTCCCCTGCTAAAGGGGAAGGATTACCTAAGACGCTTGTCTCACTCTATTCTTCAGTCTTCAGGGCAGGCGCGGAGCAATCGAGATACAAGCTTCCATTGATTGATTGTACTTGCCTGATTGTAATAGGTCGTCACTTAAGGTACATAGTGAACACGGATCAAGGTAAGGTACCTAGGTATAACCAACGCTTTGGCATGTGCCGGTCGCATCCTCTCTTCCTCATCAAGTTCATCAAGTTCTTGAACCAGTGTCACCGCTAGATTCCCGGATTGCCCATCCCGGGTACTAGATCAAGTGATCTATCCAACGCAGGGACGCCAGCACGACAGACGACTATGGGAATCCAAACATCCGTCACTCGGGCAGGCTCCAATACAGGCTCCAGCCCATCAGCGGCAAATGTTTGGGGCTCTTCTTTGAGGCACGGGTGTGGCAGCAAGCTAAAATCCGGAGGTGGCAGCTCCCGAACGACTCCTGTTGACCATCCATGTTTCAGATGCGCCTGGCAAGTCCGCGAAACCGCCCTCGAGTCCTCGACGCCCAAGGAAGCAGAAGTCGATCACGTCCCAGTCGGTCCAAACTCCCAAACCCTCCGAATTTCACTCGTGCCCGGCCCAGGCGCCAGGTCAAGCTTACCCGTTCTCGACTTTGAAATCTCCCTTTCTGGCCTTGACTGGGTCTCCAATCAGACTCGAGGTCGGGGTTGGCTTGTCACCTTGTGTTGTGTCTTGCCCTGGTGCCGGGAGGCAAGCAGGAAGCCCTGCTTTGCCTGTGTTGCATCTCGTCTGTGTTTCTGGTGTGTGCACCTGCGCCTGTGCCTGCGCGCGCGCCGCTACGATGCGTGGCTAGCATCGTTTTCCGATTTCACTCCTCTCTTTTTCTTTCCATTTGTTTTCTTTTCCTTCTTTTCGCTCTTATTTACACTCACTACCTCCTCCAACCCGTTTTCTTGCCCTGTTTTCTGCTCTGTTTCCTCTCTGGACTTTTGGGGCTTTGTAGGAGAAACATTCGAGAGTCGACAAAGCAACTACACGCTGGACGACGGTTGAACGACAGGGAAGCAGACAACGGGACGCGGTCACAGCAACTCGGCTTTGGGTCAACATTCATCACTAGGAGCACTCGTCACTTGTTCTTGTTAATTCCGAATACTCGAGCCATCATTGGATCATCGACATCGCACCAGGTCCGGCTGGCAATCTATTCATCTAATGGCCAATGTCTTGAAGACATACCCAAGTCGTCACACTTCCCTCTCCACCTCGGGAAGTCTCTTAACACAGACGACTTCTACTTGTTCATAATACCGACTCGATTTGATTTCGGGGCTTCGCGTTGTCCTGTCGTTGGCGCTGGATCGATACCCTTTAGACTTGTTTTGAGGAACAGTCCTCCATCTACTTTCTTTTCGAGCCACATACGACGCCCACGAGCGCCGATATAACACACCTCATGAACCAGACAGCGACCATGTCGTCCATGCCAATGGAACTCAACCTGCCCCGGGTGGTGCCCGGTGGCCAGCACATCAGTTATTACGTTGCCATCAGCGCGATGCTAGTGGTAGCCTGGCTCTTCCAGTCGCGAAGGCCAAAATTTCCCGACATGCCCTTCTACAAGGCCGCCAAGACGAAGTGGATGTTTGACGCCGAGACGTTGATTTGCGACAGCTATGGCAAGGTATGATGCGTAAGAAGTCCATATCGTTCAATTGCTGACACCAATTCAGTTCCGCGACACTGTATATCAGATTAAAGCGACGGAAGGTCTGCAGGTTCTTGTACCTGCAAGACTGATTGGCGAGTTGAGAAGCTTGCCAGAAGAGGTGTTGAGCGCCACAGAGGCCGTCGACGAGGCCATGTTGAGCAGATATACCAACTTCACCCTCGGCAACCACGCCGACCTACTGTCTACACTTGTGCGGTGCAAGCTGTCGCAGAACTTGGCCAGGCTTGTGCCCCAGCTCAAGAGTGAGCTCGAGTACGTTGTCGCCACTGAGTTTCCGAATTGCAAGGGTAAGTCCGTCAGTCAGATTTTCTGCCTCGCCCAACTGACACGTCCCAGAATGGACACCAGTAAAGTTCCAACCCTTCGCGCTACGAGCCATTGCACGGATCAGTGGTCGGGCATTCGTAGGCCCCGATGTCAACCGACAAGAGCAGTGGATGGATATCAGCATCAACTTTGCCATCCACGTCTTCGTCGCTGTCGTGAAGATGCAGCTCTTCCCGGAGTGGGCCCGACCGATTGCGCAGTATGGAGTTTCGGAGTTGCGGCAGATTCGCAAAGACGTTGACAAGGCTACCGCCATGCTGAAGCCCATCATCGATGAAAGATTAAGGGACCTGGAGATGCCTAGCTTTGAAAAGTCTCCCGACGACTTGATTCAGTGGCTTGTCGAAGCCCTCCCAGAGGATGA